CATCTTGCAGTCAAAATAGAAGCTGCAGTTCACACACGGTGTAAAATGCTCTCGAGCAATGGTGTGACAGAAGTGACAAAACCTAATCTGTAAAAAAAAAAAAAAAAAAAAAATGAGAATGGAGCAACAGTTCTTCCCAGAGGAACACAAATTACACTAGAGATGAAAATGTTTTTGAAGGACCAATGTGACAGCTCTGTGGTGCAGCTCTGCCTCCCCACAGCAGGAAGATTTGTAGMTGCTGGAGCTTTCTGTAGGGCTGAGTGTGTGTGAGCATTGTTTGTCTTTGTTCGCTTTACAGTGAATTAGTGGTTAACATCTTACAGTGAAGGATTACCGGTACATCTCATGTGCTCACATTTATACAGTATATACTGTATGTCTCTTGTGATGTCCAATCAATAACATACATATAATAGATTACATTTTTTTGTTTTGGCAAAATGTGTTTTGTATAAAGTAAATGTGTGGAACGATCCTGGCAGGCATAGATGTTGCCAAAATGTATTTTATTTATTTTTTTAACTGGGCAAGGTGTTGCATTATTGACCTGCTGCAGCTTAGTAAGACTGAGCTAATGGGCAGTGTGGGATTATTTTGAATCAGCTGTAACAGTGACGAGTATTTTTCTTCTAAACCACAAACAATGGATTATTTCCATCCAAAATAGAAGTTGAGTTCTAAAAAGAAGCAGACTTGGTCTGTATACCTGAGTGTCTTGTGTCTGGCAGTGTGTATAAGTCTGTGTGTGCCACACAGTTTGTATATTTGGAGGGTTTAACTCAAAATAAAAAGGAAAGTAAACCTGTCTGGGTCTGTTGGGTAGTAATAAATGCAATTTGACACCGAACCTTTTTGACTCCTAAATAAAAAGGTATAATGACAAAAGCAAGCAAGTCTCCTTGTTAATCTAAGTTGTTTTAATACCTACTAGATAAAAAATTATGCACCCTATTATTTTAACAAAACTTATCAGTTTCACTTTTAATCATCACACTAGATGATTCAAAATGATATTCCTTTTTTTAAGTTGATAATTAGCCAAATTCACATGAGAGTATGTCCAAGTGACATTACCTCACTGTTTCCACAACAAGCTAATACTCAGGTAGAATCAAATAAATCTGTAACACCAGTTATAAATCTGTTTTTATATTTTCTTCCAGGATAAAAGGCAGAAAGGGAGACCTCTCACATCACACCGTTTCATAAAAAAKTCGATCAAAGCATCTCTGATATAAACTCGGGCAAATCTGAAACATGTCCATGACTGAGTGAGCAGCTGATGAGGACATTAAAGTTGTTATTTACAGACGTGTCAGTAATTCTAGTGGAGTTTATTTATGTAAAGCTTTAATTATAATGCAGGACTTGAATGTGTTCAGATATACCATTAAAGCGCTTGTAACAAAATCAATAATGAAGCAGTACAGGCAGGACATTTACTGTTTAACAAAGCATATTATTAAACCATGTAATTATTTTAAATTGATAATATTAGACTCAGGAGATATTTCCCTCCTAAAGATAGACTGTCTGATTACTGTTTTTTTTTCCAAAGTAAAAGTGTTTATTGTTATGTTCCCAACTAGCCCCAACATTTAAGTATATTTGTTCCTGTTTATGACCTGACAAGATCTGCATTGAATAATTAAGAAGAATAAATAAATCAATAAGAGAGACAATAATGGTAATTGGAGTTGCTTCTCAGTCAGATAGTTTGACGTTTGTGGCACGCAGGATGTCTAATCAGTGACAATAACAAACTCATTTGAAGCTGCTTTGTTTTTTGAGTAGTTCATTTATTTTTCCCAATGAAGCTGATTGTAAGTGTAACAAATTACATCAAAATTTAAACTATCAGGAAAAAACAAAAAGCAAAAAAAAATAACGTGTTGATTTTTCTACTGAACTAGTTTCATTCATTTTTCACTGAATTTTCTTGGCAAAAGAAACCTGCAAACACAACCACTGGAAAGTCTGGAGTTATTTTTAGACCCTTTTTTTTCTCCCTCTGTGTGAGTGAGTAAAGTGTCTCAGAGGAAATTGTGATCGTCTGGAAAAATGTCCAGGAACGGTTTTAAAGCACACGGTCAGGAAGTGTGGCAGTTTCAGCTCTCTGTTCAAAGATGGTAGGAGGCACACACTGCGGGTGTGCGTGTGTGTGTGTGTGTGTGTGTGTGTGTGTAGGTTCACAGCTGTATCGGTGCGTACAGAACGGCGAGTCGCGTGTGTATTTGAGCGTGACGACATGTAGAGAGTATGAATGTGTGTTTAATCTTAAAGCTCCCAGATGGTTTTACTTTGGAACTTTGAAGGAAAAAAATGCAGGCTTGTTTATTTTTTTTTTTTTTCATAAAAATGTTGGAATGAAGGATGGTTATTGTGTTTTAGCTGATTTTTTGCGGATTCACCAAATTTGAAAAATAGTCAGCAAATTCATACAGTTTTTTATTACAGTGTGAACTGGATTAATAGTTTTATTGTTAGGTCATCCACTGACGTCAAATATTTTTAGCTCAACATATATTTATAATAAAAAAACAACAGGAAAAGAAAAGGAGTTTGAGTTGCAGCTCATATAGGTCACTGAATACACTGAATGTTTTTCAGGCTTACAGCACAAAATGAAAAAAAGGAACATTTTTGTTTTCTTTTTTCCCCCTTTACTGAAGCTGGAGGTTCCCTCGGCCCACAGCTTTCAAGTGTCTAACTTAGAAACTAGTGGGTGTAAAAAGGAAAAAAAAACAGTACTTTTTATTTTAGTACAGTGGTTTGCAAAAGTATTCATACCCCTTGAACTTTTCCATATTTTGTCACATTACAACCACAAACA